TTCTATGTTGAGTTCAGTCATATTTTCTCAAATATTTATTGCTTTTAAGTTGGCCTCTGATAAACTTTCACTTCCTTCCATTGTTTTTGGAAGCTGTTTCCCCCAGTGGATCAGGCACGGGCAAACAGTCCAGCACCATTCAGGTTTGTGGGTGCTGCCATTTTTCATGAGTGGTTCTGTGCTGTCGTGACATCCTTCTTGTTTAGAAATTTAAAAGCGTTACCACAACATATGTCTCACTTTATACTATGCAGCTAAATACCAGTGTTTTAGTAATTGGAAACGCCAGTGGAATCTGTAGTCATGAGACTTCCCTCTGATTTTGATAAATACGCTTTTGTGGTGGGTGCAGAGGGAAGTGAGCCCATGTCTGTTGTAAAACAGATTGCACATGTGCAAGGTGATTGATTTTGCTCATGTTGAATGACAGTAAACTCCAGGGTTTGATGGTAACCTGAACTGCTGATGCTTTTGCCATTGCAAAAGTTACTACACTGGTTGGCAGAAAAACCAAGTTAATTTTGAATTTGTCTGGCTGATTAAATTGACCCCATATATTTAAAACAATTGTGATACGTCCTTAGCACCACTTGGCTGGAGTATCCTGGAAGTGATGCTGCACGGATAGAGCTTTGGTGGCATGTTCCTCCCCAGGCCTCATTTACCAGCACGCACAAACATGGTTACCTGCTCCACATAGCCCTTCCTCTTGCCAGGACTGGAACCCAAGTGCTCTTGTTTGTCTGAGGTAGAGGTACATGATTAAGTTCTGATGAAAATACAGTGGAAATCTGTGTTCAAATACTGGGAAATGTGATATACTTGTGTATTTGTAGTAATTCCAGAAAGCTACTTGGTTGTTCTTGTAATGCCTTTCACAGATGATGATCTTGTTCTTTCTATCAGTTTTCTGGAAAGATATGTGATGCTTTATGCAATTCAAAAATGCTTTAATTCACTGTCATGGTCAAGACCCAGACTGATAGTGTTTGACACAGCAAAGCTTTGTAGGAAATCTGGAAGCAGATATAAAAAAGCCTTTCACTTGAGAAGTAGAAGTGCAGAGCTAGAACAATGTAAAGTGAAACTGTGCCAGTGGTGACAGAGCTTATTCCAAGACCTCTTGTTTTATTTCCGACTATTGTCTTTGGCTGTTTAAACAGATAAAAACAATCTTCAATTTTTTGTCTGCAACTGCTCCCTCCCACATCCCCCCCATTTGGTACTAAGGAAATGAGACCAAATCTAGGGTGTTATTTTATCACTGTTTGCTTTTTTGTTGAGGACCTTTCCTTTTCCTTCCCTGTTTGATCTCTTTCATGCTGTGTTGTGTCACTGATACTGTTGCAGCTAAGAAATTACATGTGAAGTAAATTGATCTCAGCCCAGTTGTTAGTAGGGTTACATCCTAAAACACACCAGGATAGGTTCATTTTCTACCACTTTCCAGGCAATTCAAAGACTGAATTAGATGGGGAGACATAACTTTGGTTTAGACACGGTGTTGCTGGTTCTAGGTGTTGGTGAATTGAATGTTGTGTTTAAGATTGCTACTTTAAAAAATGATTAAAGGAAAATTCATTACCTATTAACATTGCTGTCAGTTAATGAGGCATTACATGCTTCTGAAAGTTAATGAGGCATTACGTGCTGTAACTAAGCTAAATGTCCTGTAGTTCAGCCTCTCCACCGTGCTGTGGTTTAACCTTTGCACGATGCTCTATGGAGAAACAGCCTCTCTTGGTGAGATCCTTCCCTCCTAACCCTGCAGCCTGAGTGAGGTGGGAGATTGTGACTCGGGGATGACCATGGGTTTTCCAGGGAGTGCAGACAGCCTTTTGGTTTGCTACAGCTCATTCAAGTGCTTATGCTAATTACAAGGGAGAGTTTCATGCTAACTGTTGGGTTCCACGAGATAACTTAGTGCACAGACTGCGTAGCCTGAGTGGAGTGATGGGGTAAGGGGTGGCTAAAGAGAATGAAACGTTTCTTATGTGTTCATGGTTTTCTTCAGTAGTCTAAAATAACTCCTAACATGTTGCAGCTGATACCAAAACTAATTTCAGGGTTAGTAAAATGTTGCTCAAAACACGGCTACTTCCTCAGGAGAGTGCTAAGTATCTGGAGTGGGGGTGAAAGTCACTGGTTTTAAGCAGTTGTGTTGGACACTTGTCGTGCTCTTTGCTCAACATTTTAGTGTTTAAAAATATAACTGCAATATTGGTTCTGTAGTTAGACTTCTGAAAGAGAATATCTCAAGAACCCCGTCGAATTCTGTATCTGTGCAGTCTGTGTTCCTTGTTTGACATGATCAAGTGCCCTTGTGTTGGCTGCTGTTTGAAGACCCCCTGTGAAGCCCCTTCCTGGGGATCCCCTGCCAGCCTCCCGCGTGTGCTGGCCCAGAATAGCCGGGCTGGGGCTGGGGCAGGACGCGCTGTCCCGTGGCTGTCAGCGGCCGCGGCGCTGCTGTCATGTGAGCTGAGCCCTATCTCTTTTCAGAGCTCTTGCTTCTTCCTTTGCTTCCAGCTGTAAGTGCTTTAAACAAACAGTGACCAAACCTGCAGGCTCAGGCTAGCCTGTTGCCGAGCAGCTCCTGGCAGCTGGGCGGTTCAGGCTTTGTGGCCGTGGTGTTGTCTAACCCCTCACAGTGAGTAATTCCACCTGGAGTTCCCCTGCGGCAGCTGGAAGGTGCTGTTCTCTCAGCAGTGTCCCCATGTGTATGATCAGATGACTCAGGTTCTTGTATTCCAACATAATTCCCTTTTCTCTTCCTGAGCTTTAGTCCTTTCCAAAGGCAGGACACAGTAGATAGGATGTTTGGTCAGTGGTAGGCTGGAGATGTTTCACATGACTCTGCCTGGATGTGCCTTTTTATCTCGAGGCTGTAAATGCAAAATTTCTGAATTCCTGTGGAGATAAGTGGGGAGGAGCAAGGCTGTCAGTGGCCTGCAGTCCCTGGCAGCGTGTTCTCTGTGCTTGTGGACTTGGAAGAGAAAGACCGTGTGTGATGTTCTCCCTTCAAGTAAACAGCCTTTCTCCAAACCATGAACAATAAAGCCATTAAGACAGTTCTGGCAGTGTAATGTAAGGTAGAAGTTTCATAGGACGTTTTAATGTTGATATTAAGACATATTTTTACTTTTTAAGTATTCACTCGGTTACTAATAAACCTACAGATGTCTGTTACTGAAAGAATCTTAAAATCAAACTTATTCATACTTGTAGTGACTATAACCACCTCCCACTGGAGTGTCATAGTACCGACTCTAACACTGAGAGCAACCCCTGTGTTAGCCTGTGGGTATGCAGCAGGTACCCCAGCTCTCACAACACTTTTCTAGTGAGTGTTTGTTAGAGTGAAAGCTCATCTGCTTAAGGAATAAGAAGAGCCTTTTCTATGTTTTCTCCCCAATCCTGTGTGCACGTGTTACGATAGCTGCTGCTGCAGGGGAAGATCAGCCAGAGGTAAAGGCTCATTTCACAGACAACTGTTAAAAGAACCGAGCACAACTTGCTACAGAAGTTCTGCATCATGTTTTCTCCCTCACGCCCCCAAATATTTAAAATAGCTTTGTATTTTAAATTAAGAGTTAGTCATTGCCTGAGTGCCAGGCATGAACTATTAATACACTAATGAGGTCAGGTTGTGCTCTTTCACTGAGTGCACACTTGCCAGAACACTTGAAACAAGTTTCTGCAGATGCTTGTGTTGGCCACTAAATCTTCCCTTGTCACTACTGGGCTTCCAGTCGCTGCTGAGGACAGCAACAGTGCAGCTCTGAATGACCTATTACATAGAGTATGTGTGGATAATGAGTAACTAGCTATGAATAACATTATTAAATAAAGCCCCAAAACCTGCACACAGCCCTTTGTGGGGGAAGGACGTTATTGTACTTCATTGTGCATGTTCTGTAGATGTCTTCTGTGAACTGGCTTTGCTCTGGGCCAGAGCCTGACCCCAGGATGGGCATGGAGCAAGGAGCACTGTGATCAATGCTCCAAGTGTCCCCTCAACAGCTGATAAAATTGCCAGGATTTGGCCCAGTGTCAGGCTCAGACGTGGTGATGCTAATAGTTTAAGTGTGGTTTTTGTTTTCTAGGAGGGCTAGAAAATAGGTGTTACTGTGTGCAGCACTTACAGTAAGCTCTGCACCGAGTAACTTGTGCTAGATTCTCTTCTCCAGAGCCACATCCTTTCAGTTTCTGTAATTATTGAAGGAAATTCTTCTGGTCAGCTGTGCTTGTAATTGCTGCAGGTAAAACTGGAACAAATTAATTCATGGAATTTTCCCTTGTTTGTTTGTAGAATTCTACTCTGATCTTGTTGAATTTAATAATTTCTAGCTACTTCTTCCTGTGGCTTACTGACCTGCATGAAGACTTTTCATTTGGCAGTGGGCAGGAATGAGTGTGGATAAAGCTATGCTTTCAGGTTGTCTCTGGCCAAGGAAAGCTACAGCTGTTGGTTTTGACTTGTCATTTTTGTTTTATGAATGGAAATGTGCTAACATTTCTTGAATTGTCCACTGAGTAGGATCAGTAGTTCTAGGGGGAGTAATGCTGCCCGCTGTTACAGTGACAAAAAGCAGTATTTTCTGTGGATAACATTCCACTGACCAAATAAACCCATTTTTTGCTGTTTTACTTATGAAATGATGTCATCAAAACTTGTGATACTGGTATTTTTGTTCTGTAATCTCGGGAGGGCAAGGGTAGCTTTGACCTGTTGCTGGGTCCTTCCCACTTGCAGGCTGCAGTGGCCACGTGCCGGGGCTCAGCCGAGCTCCCGTGGGGCTGGAGGACATCGGGGCTGTCCTCCTCTGAGGTCTGTGTGCGTGAGCCAGGCTGAGGGGAGGAAGGGGAGGAATCGATTCTTGGTGAACAACCATCTGTACTAGAAAGAGTTCCTTGCCTCCAGTGATGGATGGACAGTGATGAGATTTCTCTCTCTCCTTTTAACTCCAGCAGAACAGTGAGGCCAAGTTTGGTATGATACCATGGAAGGGCAGCACAACCATCCACATCATTTAGGGGACCAGAACAACCCACTCTGCAAGCTGCCAGGGCAGGAGTACCAGCATGATCCTCAGGTGAGTGTGTGTGTCCCTTTAATCTTTCTCCTTCTGTGTTTTCTTCCCTTCCTTTTATAAAGCTCGATAGATTTCTAAGCACTTACCCTTTTCCCCCCCTGTTTTATTTATAATGTAGCTATAGTAGTTTCAGTGTATATCCAGTTTAAGATTCTGCCAACCAGCTAGAGTTTCCTGAATCCATTTTTTTGATGATGATCAGAGGAAAAGGAAATAGATTGCATTTTGCTTAAAGCAAGTATTTTTAAATCACCTTATAAAAACATGTGCTGTGTTGGCTTTCTCTTTTGAATGTTTGAAGAAAAGGCCAAAGGAAAACAGTCGATTGTGTAAGTGAATAAATGTATTATATCCCCCTTTTATAGTTTAGTAGTAAATGCTGGAGAGGTGATTACCCAATACAAGAAGTAGTTTGTGCTATGTGAAGCTGTAGGCTCTCTGACCTCATCTCCTGTGAGTCTCTGGAACCTCTCCCACAGTGTAGTTTGTCTGTGCTGTAACCCAGTTCAGTATAAGAGCCTCTCTCTCTCTCTCTCTCTCTCTCTCTCTTTCTGAACAGGGGTTAGACCTGTATTCAGAAGAATGTCGATACCTTCATAAAACTTGTATTTGGTGAATTCTGGCTGCTTGCCTTTCTTGGACTGTTTGTTTATCAGAATAGTTCAGTTTTACCTGTATGTATGTTACAGAGTAAACAAAAAGCTTCTCAGAAGAGCTGTCAGAAAGAAGACAACTGTGGTGTAGCATGACCTTGGGGAGGGGGCTGTGGGTGTTACTGTGTCATTCCAAACCCCTGCTCCAGGGGTGATCAAACTGAAAGTGCTCGTTAGGAGGAACAGTTACCAAAACATAGCCTAGGACTTGCAGAAGGGGCGAGTTGCTTCCACAGAGCACAGCAATGAATGTACCTTACACAGCACTGCTGGGGAAGAACGTCGTATGGAGCAAAGCCCCCCTCTCCTAATGTAGCAATTTGTCATATTAAGTCATTTAATAATAATTGAATCCCCTTGATTAATCTCCTAGAATTAGCCAGTTGCATTTTGAGCAATTAGGGTTAATTACTGCCTCATTTGGCAGGATAGAGCCCCTGTAATTATTTCATGAACAAGATTAGGAAGTGTTCCTGTGCAGCAGATACATTCATGGCATCTTGGAGCACATGTTAGAATTTGTAATGACATAGTTAAGCGTAATTAGTAGCTAATAATCTATGTTCTGCTGCTACACTGATGCTGAGTGGGCTCATTTTGCTGTATGGTCATTGTTCAGGGAAACCTCCCCTCAACTGTTAATATCTGAGTTGTGTTAATGGAGCTCTCGGAGTATATTAGCTGTTCTGAGAATGATCTAGTTTGGAATTAGGATTGCAGAAAGACTTTCTTTGATATTGCTGTTAAAATAAAATTTTAAGAAAGCTGAATAACAAAAATATACAGTCTGTCAGAGAATTGGGGGGGGAGTCTCTTTGTCAGAGTTTAGAAATTAACAAAAATGGGACTGTTCAGAGGGCAGGCTGCCTTACACTGATGATGTGATATGATTGCTTCGTACGTATTTCTGGTTTTCCATTTTGCAGGAACACAAATATATATAATTTCCAATTTTCTTATACCTATTACCTGGAAAAATCCAAAATTACATTATTTTGTTCTTCAGAAGATAAAAGTAGTGCAGACATGCTATATAACAGCTTGTGGAAGACAGACCGGTTTGGGATGGAAAAATCGTCCAAACTGGTCTTACAAGAAATGTCATGAATGACAGATAAAAGCTTAAGCAGAAAAACTAGAACTTAAGCTTTTGAAGTCTTGATGAGGGGGGGTTTTTGTATGGAGTGGCCCTTCTTCCTTCCAGCCCTTCCATTCAAAAGTGCTGCCACCCCCAGAAAGACCAGACCAACAGTGGGCTCCTCTAGTAGGAACCTTTCCTATAATTATGCTGCTTCCTAAATCTGTTGTGGTGTGGTGGCGTTTTTTGGGGGATCATTTTTGTGCTGTTTTGGTTTTGTTTTCATTATGACAAAGGTTTTATTTCTCTTTTATAACTTGGTAGTGTAGAGCTGTAAGTGAGTGTATCAGACTTTTCTTTCTGTCTTTACTGTCATTTAGTAATAACATGACACTTCCAAGTAATGCTTCATATTTAGAAGTTTTCTAGAGTAAGTGAATATATAAATATATAAAAAAACCACAAAACCACCAACAGCAGCAACAAAAAAAAAAACAACCATCAAAAACCAACCCACAGTTGTAGCTTCTGTGGGGTTACCCCACATTACCCCGATGAAGTTTGTCAGCAAGAGGCCCAGTTGTTTTCAGTCCTGTTCCAGAGTGAAAGTGTCAATTAAGTCTCTAGATTACTTACTGTTTATAGCAGTAAGCAATCAAACTTATTTAGTAGTAAGTCAATGATATAAAAATATGGATCTGTAATTTTTTACTTAGTCTGCCTACTAAATAAACACAGTAACTCACTTTTAATCAACCCTTTTATATACTCACACAGCTCAGCAGCAGAGCATTTCATGATAGTCTGTGAACTGAAGGTAGATTTGAACTGGTCACCTAGCAGCAAAGGCTCTTCAGTTTACCCTTTTCTGAAGTGCTTAGGTGATTTTGTGTATTAATGTTAATTTCTTTGTAAATATTGCCTTGGTCTACTATTTTCAAGTTGGTGTTCTCTCTCCTTGTTACAAGCTAGTATAAATATCTACTAATAGGGATGCTAAAACTTCAAAATAAGTTCTTCAGGAAGCTTTAAATTCTAGGTTACAGGTTAGGTTATGGCTATTGTATGACCGTGGGCTAGATTTGAAGCTGCAGATTGAAAAATCTGATGTATTTTTCAGTAATTATTTGACTACCACTACCTGTTTGAAGGATAACCTGTATTTTAAGAGCTTCCTCATCTCTTGTGAACTTAGAAGTTCTTTTTCTAACCAGTCTGTTCTAATGTCTCATGAACTCACACTGGAATTTCACCCTCAAAGTATGCAGAATCCATTTCAGGTAGGCATTATTGAATGGAGATGGGTGTATAATTTGGGACATCATAAAGAGGTTTGACACACTGATGTTGATATTAAATCAAATAAATCATTGCTCATGATGTCTACGTGTGCAACTGGCAAGGCTGAAGCTTCCCCATCTACTGCCACAGATGTCTTTTAAAGGTGAAATTAGTTTACGGCAAATGTCACTCAGATGAAGTATGAGCTTCAGAAGCAAGGAAAACGTTCCTTTAAAATTAATGATGCATTGCAAATATCAGGAAAAAAACTCATATCCAGTATAAAGATAATTAAAATTCAGGTCAGAAGTGTATGACTTAGTCGGGCTAAATTTTTTAATGAGATTTCAGAAAATTAATTGGGCGAGTATGTTTTTACTCATCTAAAGAGTATTTCATTTCCTAGCTCTACAGAAAAGATGCTTTCAGTGGCATCTGAAGATTGTAGTGTCTGACTTTTTAACTGTTGGTTAGCCAATCTTTAAAATATTTTAGACTGATTACGAATAATCTAAGTGTCTCATGACCTTGTAGCCATTTGTGCACACTGCCTAGTGCTGGTTTTCCACATGCCAATCAGACAGCAGTACAGCACTGACTCTAATTAACATTATCACTCTGGGTTTATATACTGTGCAATTAGCAGTGAACGCTCCCCTTTTTTTCAGCTCATTCAGGCTTATTTTTCTTTCTCTGGGAGGAGCAGGCATGCAGATATTGCTCTGCTACATGTTAGTGTTTTACTGATACTTTTATCTTCAGTCTTTCAGTACCCTCCTATGCCTGAAATGTTGGGTTAGAGGCTGCAGGAAAGGCTGCTTGCAAAGTTTTTTTAGGACTGTTCAGGTTTTCCCCAGCTCTTAACTAATTACAAAGAGGTAAATTTATTGGCCAAACATTCATTATCTTGGAGATTGAAAGTCTTTCTACAGAACAGGTTTTCTTCTTTCCAGTTGTAAACTTTGGTGTGTTTGTATTCTTGCACGCTCAGAGTTGCCTGTGCTCAGGTGCCTCTGGTAGCACTGTGACAGACATCCCCAAAAATGTGGAGGGAGAGGAATTAGAAGCTACATCCTGTCACCACAGAGCAAACACGTAGCAAGGAACTTATCCAATGCTGTCATCCTCTATGTGCTTGGGTTGCTTTACAATCTGGTATTATAGAGACTCCTATTAACCTTTAATTAAGTTCCTTATCCTTGCAGCATATCTGTGCAGGTGCATTACAACGTAATAAAACAGACATTTTCATTTAATTGGATTTTTTTTACTATTGCAAAACCTTACTAATTTTTATTTTGCAGAAAGTCTTGTGACAGGTCAAAATTTGAGGCTGAAAGTATTGTGACAAGGACTGTCCTTGCAGACTCCTGCCAGCTTTGAAATGTTCGCTCTCGCATCAGTGATTACATCTAAAAGAGGACGTCTATGCCAGAGATGGTGTCCAGAATGGCTTGTTCTTGGAATAATCTCTGCATTTCTTCTTAAAAATGAATAGCCTCTTTATTCAAATGGGGATTAATTGACTTCAATCTTTAGCCTTTTTTTTTTTTTTTTTTTAAATGGAGTGATAGAAGAATGAGACTTCATTGTGTGGATGAAGAGAACAGCCTTTGTCTCAAAACTAGTTCTTCCCAGACTGTTCCCTTCCTGTGGCTGCCCTGGGAACAGAAATGTGCAAACAGCCCAGTTTTCGTAGTATCTTTATAGGTCTGGTGGTTGGAAGCCTTGGTTGGTTGTTTTTTTCCTCTCCCGTTTTTCTTACTATTTCTTTTAAAAATTCAATTTCCATCATTAACCTTGAAACCTATTCTGCTCAGACAGTGGCTTGATTTTATTGGGTTCATGCAGACCTGAACCCTTCACTGAGCCTGAATCTGTCATGGAAATGAGAAAATCCATTTTTGATGAACAGATTTGAAGATGATGGTGGTATCTAATTTTACACACAATTTATATTTGTATATGAAAACTGAGATTTGCAGAAACAAAGATGACAGTTTCTTTGAATGAATGGGTGTTGGTTCTTTGACAGCTTTATGAAAAGTTGTAGTGGCTACATGTGGAAGGACTTGGAAGAAAGAATTGTTTGCTTTGTCAAAAGTCATGAAATAAGTGAAATGTATGTGAGGCCAGACTATAGGGTGTTCTGAGGAGGTGGGTATTTCTGAGCTATTCTAAATGTGTCCTTGTATTTAGAAGAGTCACCTGCTTAGGCTGAAGTACAGTAAAGCATAAGAGAAGGTTAGTTTTGGAGAGGCGTGTGGGGAGCTGTGCCCTGATCGATAGGAGCTTCCTGGTATTGCTGGGTCCAGCCTGAGCATGCTCTCTGGTACACACTGTAATCAAACATCTTCTAGCCTCCATGAAAGCTCCATTACTTTAATTAGGTCTGATAGGTTGTGATAGCAAATGCAAATCTAGGTCATTGCATATGTAAATGTGCAGCTGTACTCTTGGAGGATGCCAGAACATATCAGCTAAGGTGTCCAGTCATCACCCAGCATTAACTCCAGCATGGCAAGCAGACTTTATGTGCTAACCATGTGGAAGTGGTTAGGACACACATATACACCCTGTCACTTGCCTAACATTTATTTATATTTTCAAGTTAAGAAGTTGCTAGATACTTCCTGGCATGTGCTTAAAATATTAATTTACACTTAAAGACTCTTGGTTTAAACACACAATTTAATGATTTATGAAGGGCAAAGGGTACCGTCCTTAATTGCAGCATGGATTTGCTCCACAAAAAGAAAGTTTTGTGGTAGTTGCTTCATAAAATCACGTTAGAACTGCGGCTTCTATTGTGAATGTTAACTCCAAGGTAGAACAGCTTTTACTCAAGCTTTCTTTACTAATCAAGAAGAGCGTGGCTCAGGAGGCACACGTTCCTAGTTAAGGGAATGCTTTGATTCCTTTCCAGTTTTTAATGAGGAAAAAATGTTTTGTAGTTCTATATACTGACACCTTTGTTTTGGCTGGGTAAAGTGATTTGACTAGACAGCTCAAATAATTTGTGTAGTAGCTTATATGTAAAAAAGCTGGGAAGTGGAGATGTTCCCAGCTAGGTCCTGGTCAGGTTGAACAAACATTTGTCTTCCTCGTGCACAAAATGCACACATCCCAGTATTTGTTAGTGCTCCCTGGGATAAGGTGAGAATTCCTATAAATACTAATGCAAATGCTAAAGCAGCCTTCTTATTTGTGTAGGGTTTTGTTCGTTAATTGAAATTTTTATTGAGCCATCTTTAGCATAGAGAAATGAAAACAGTTCCTCATAGTATGAGAATATTTAAATGCTTGTGACAGAAAAATTTACCTGTGGCCTTGGCATTTCAAAAATAATTACTTGAAGTGTCGTTTCTTCTGAAAAGGAGTGAGTTTGCTCTTTTAGGGAACTTAAACTGAGAAAGCTGGTAATTGATGGCCTGGAGTTAAATTTTCATTTATGTGCCTACTTGACTTAGCAGCATTGGCTGGACAGTGTTGCATTTTTGTCTTCTCTGGAGTTGGTAACTGCCTGAGCCTTTCAGTTCAGCACCAGTCCTCTGTGTTCATTCCTGCAGAGCTTTATCCTCTAGGTCCTCAACAGCTGACGCAGGGCAGTGGTGTGGAAGTGCAGGAGAGGCTCCAGCAACAAACAGCCTTTTGCTGCCAGAGACATGAGGGGAAAGATGACAGCAAAAAGATCTCGTAGTCTTTTCACTGTCTGGGCTGTGATTTGTATCTGCAGCTCTGTATCATCAGCATTTATAAAACATCATCATTTTTCTCGTGTGCCTGCAGCAGAATAGCTTTTGTTGTAGGGATTTCTCCTGTTTGTTGTGGTAAAGGTGCTGTAAAGGTGGTTTTCAAAATAGCTTGTCTTGGTTGATTGACACAGTTGATGGGTCAGAAATTACTATTTATGGGACTTCATTGGTGAATTTTCTTAAATTCTGAATTTTACAACTTTATTTAAAAACCTTTGCCAAATAACTGTGATTGTAGTTCAGAGTGGCACAGACACCTTGGGTTCTGGAAGCTTTTTGAAGTGTCTGATTGATACTTTTTATTGTTTATTGAATGCTGGTTGTTTTTATTTGTGTTGCAAAGAAAATGAGTCCAAACTTACTTGTTTAAATAAATACAGGCTGTAAGAGCTCCTCACGCTGTCTGGAATGTAGCGCTGGCGGAAGGTGCTGCACTGAAAGCTTTACCTGCATTCTGAATCTTAGTTCCAGCCCTACTCCTCTGTGTTAGGAAATTACAGTGGTAGCAGTAGTCAGCTCCTTAAAACTTGCAGTACTGGGGACCTGCTCTCCCTGGACTCCTGTGGTGGGGTTGTCTGCTGGAGGTGCAGCAGTAGGTGATGGCTGTGTCCCTGGGAAGACCCCCTGCTGCTGGGGTCTACCTGTCTGTTTGTGGGTTTTGATGGGAACTCTGAAATGCTTCAAGATGCTAAAGCTTAAAAATATTCTACTTGGTGTGCATGGCAACTTTAATAGTTTCTTGTTTAAACATTGGTTAGCAGCCACGTTAATTATCAAAGAGACCAGAGTGGCTCTGGGGAGCAGTCCCTGCAGCCTGTGGAGTGTGTGATCTGCACCACGCTGTGTCTACCTGCCTGGCTGTTTACCTGAGAGTGCCCAGGAGCAGGCACCAGCAGCTCCCCCGTGGCACAAGCAGGCAAAGTTGACAAGAGGGTGTGTAACTAGGGAGACAGTAGTTTGGGACTAATTAGTTCCTTACACGGAAGGCAAGACTTTAAATATTTTTTAAAAAAGGAAATAATAATGACTTTTAATTAGTAATGTAATAAAACGTTACTAATAGATTTACTAGGAATTAATACCTTTATGTTCAGAATTATCTACAGGCTGATCAAACTAGGTTAAACTGACCATCAGCAGGGGAGCAAGAGGATGTGCATGTTTGACCATCTCCACTGTTCTGTGCATTTTTTGGTAGCCATTAGTAGTTTCAGGCTTTGGCTTGTCTCTGCTGGAACGTGTGTATGCTCGTGGCTGTGTGCTGGGCTGTGGTGTGGTGGCTGCTCTGGTACAGCATTGGCTGAAGTGAAGGAAGAAAATTGAAGGGTGGGAAAGGAAAGCCAGACTGCTCCATTGTCCACCAAATCAATGCCAGATTTCATTGTCTTTCCTGCTGGGCAGTCCTTACTGTTAGGAATTTATCTTCCTGAATATGATGAGTCATAGAAACCTCTAGTTTGAGGTCATAAAGAAGACTAATAATGCAAATTCACTCTTTTGCATCACTTTTTTGTAGTCCATTGATTTAATTTCTTTTGGCTCGAGCAGAGACACTTAACGACGTACCCGTATCGCTGCACGCTGGCCGACTTCCAGGTGGAGAAGAAGATTGGACGAGGACAATTCAGTGAAGTCTACAAAGCAACTTGTCTTCTGGACAGAAAACCTGTGGCATTAAAGAAGGTTCAGGTGAGCATTTAAGTTCAGAGTCTTTAGCAAACAGAATGGAATGTTTTCAGTGTTGACGCAGGTTATTTTGGGTCTGATAACCCTTTCAGTGTTCTTTCATCTGCAGTAATAATGTAACAAAATGGTTTCTAAATAGAGTTTAAGGTTTGAGAACACTGGGTGATGTAGTTTGGTATTTTTACATTTAAAAATAAATGCACTGCCACAGTCCTGGAGCTGGGAGACTGCAGTCCAGCACAAGAACTGTCACAGCACAAGAGCACAAAAGGGGAAAGTGCCTGTGCTTGCTGATGGAGTTTTAGAAGAGTTTCTGAAAAACCTCCATGCAAGCAGTACAGTTTGTAACTTGGCTTAAAGTGCTGTGCAGTGTTCAGAACTGCATATTCTTTGAAGAAATTTGTCTTTAATCTTTCAACAGATCCTTTAAGCTTCTGTTTCTGGTGGCTTTATGATTATTACAGAATGAATGTTAGTGCTCAATGTTATTGTTAATTATTACAGAGAAAGCAGTGGAAGCTCTATCTCTGTTTAAGAGAAAAAAGTAAACATTTTGTCTTTCATTTGCCACATGAAGTTAATAGTAACTAAACTAAGTCTGTTGAAAATCACAACAGCAAATTCACAAACTAGTGTCTTTATTTTTCATGCTGCTTGAAATATTGCTAACAGGTTCTAAAATTAATTTTACCCTATCACTAGCCCTTTAGTAGTTTTAAAATAAAGAACATATTGATCTTTTTTCAACCTGGGGACTGTGTGTATACTCATTATGGTGGAGGGTATACAAATTGGGAGGAAAGACCAATTTTTTGTTAAAATACAAAATTCTTTTGTGTTGCCTCATTTACCTCTTCTGTGTGTTTGTCTCTGAAGATTTTTGAAATGATGGATGCCAAGGCTAGGCAAGATTGCATTAAAGAGATTGACCTCTTGAAGGTAAGAATTTTTACAATGACCTTTTGTGTTTCTTGTTTTGTGGAAAAAAAAAAAATGTTTTCAGTTTGGCAACAATCATTTACCTTTTATTGCAAATAAAGCTTATATAGCACACACAGTGATCTGAACACAGTGCTTTCTTTTGCAAGCTAGAATGCCTACATGGTGCAAGAGTTTTCTCTTAAAGCTTAATTTCATTGGGTTTTCTGCCTATAGCCCAAGGAATCTATTAAAAATCATTCTGTCATAAAAAACACAAGTACCCCTCTTGCAGAGAGACATGTAAATTCTGCCCTTTATGTGCTTTGATCTGTTTGTCATTTTAAAATAAACTAATTAATGAACTGGCTAAATGGGAAACAGTTTTGCATGTGCATGTCGTGTGTGTGTATGTATATGTATCACACATGAAAAATGGTAGTTTAGTGAAAGGCTCAAACCAGAAGGGTAGGTAGGGGGTGTCAGTGGTTAAACCAAGTAGTGATTTTTTTCCATCTCAGTAATTTATTATGAAGATAGGCGTTGCATTTTAAATATCTGTTTTGAGTATCTGCAACTGATTGTAGAAGGCTAAAATTTTAGTTTAGCTAGTCAAATTTAATTCTGAAAATACAAAATAATTAATTTTAGGTATTTCTATTTAAATGTCCATTTATATTCATGCAGTTGTGGACAGAGCTTGAGTCTGCTAGCTGTAGTCAAGGCACACAAGATGAACATGGAGATAGCAGCTTGGCTGAATGTGGTCCAGCTGCTTGACACTCATGGAGGAAAGTAATGCCAGCATTAACAGGCAAAAGAGAATTGGTGATGTTTTGGGGTTCTAGGTAATCCAAGCAGTTTTGTCTTGAACTCTGATTACAGAAAATGTCATAAACTTGCACTGGATTTATTCAGAGCAGAATGTGGAAATTGAGTAGAGTCAGAGGAAGTTATTATTTTGGTCACCGAGGTGAAGTGCATGGCTGCCTTGCAGTTGTCTAGTGTCTGGCCACACAGTAGGGGGTGTTCATACTTCTAAACTTCATGCTACTTCTAGATTCTGGTGTTTAGTCTGCAGCATTTACATTACTATGAATTACCTCGGTAGGGCTGTAATGGGTGCTCGGGCTGCCCGCGCTCGCTCCGTCAGAGGTGGCCCTAACCCTAAACCTCCCACTGCCCTGGCTGGCAGTGCTGCTGTGCCCACACGCCAGGCCTTGACCACCATCACTCTTCTGGGGTGCATTAAAGAAACGTTGCTAACCCCAGGTAAAGTGCTCGTAATGTTTTGTGCATTTAAGGATTTGTGGGAACTTTCATTCTGAGAAAAGAGAATTCCGGTAGCTTTTTCCATGCTCTCAGTTATATCATAGTTATTAGGAAAACAAAACCAAAACAAGACAAAACCAGAGTCAATATATTCATTTGAAATAAGTCTGACTAAAGGAAGAGTGGAAAATGGAAGTTTGGTGTATCCAGCATGGTCTACCTGGCTGTTCTGGGAAAACAGAGGTCAGAGGTCAGTGAATTGTAGAAAAAAATTGTACTTCTGCATTCCCATTCCTTCAGGGGTGGTATCAGCCCCTGCTGCTGCAAGGGAGGAGTCCTGGGAGATCTGCTCTTCTAAAGGGCTACCACAGAATTTAGTGTGGTGGCATGGGCATTTTGTTTGTTTGCTTTTAATTTTATACAACTTCATCCTAATAGAAGAAACCTTCTTTAGATCTAACGAATTTCTTTAAATCAGTGCAAACCATCAGTAGAAGGTGTGTGCAGTCTCACAAAAAAGATACCTGAATTCTTTGTGTCGATGAAGCAGTGCTTGGGTCTGAGTCAGTGGAGCTTTGTCCCACGCAGTCAGTGAAGTAGAAGCTGGGGTGCAGAACAGCAGAGGGGCCAGTGCAGGAGCTCTCCCGGGGCTGGCTGGTCTTCACTCCCCAGTACGGTTGTGGTGTTTAGAGTTGTGCTTTGTTAGTACGTGCTGCTGAGGCTTTGAAAAAGGCTTGTCTGGCTGCTTGCACTGCCCCAAGCCTTTGGGAGCTTGGGAGCCAGTTCCAGTCGGAGCATCCTGAAGAGGACAGGAAGTGTCTCTGCAGTGCCCAGTGTTGGGGAGGGCACCCGGCTGTGCGGGGGGTGTCGGGCGCTGTTCTGCTCCTGGCCTTGGCTCCTCTTTCACTGCAAGTTGGTCATTGATCGGTGTACGTGAGAGCAGATGTTTAAAAGAAATTTCAACAGAAATGGTGGGCTGTGCTCTTTATTTATTTATTTATTTGCTTGGGCTTGTGGGAATGTTCTTCTCCTGATGCTGGCACAGGGATCCCATTAGCGCTAATGCGAGCTAGTGTCGAGGCATCGCAGAGGAGAATCTGTCCCCAGTGTGCATGCAGAGCACAGTGATTAGTGTGATGGATCAGAGCACTGTTCCTTTCTGCTCTGTAACCCCTGGAATGGACGGGTTCAGTCACAGCTGTTCAGTAGATGAAATGCTCACTTTAGTAGTTTCTAAATCTACTGCATTTCTATGAGCACGAGAGAAAGATAATCTAAAGCAAGCTGAGAGAGTAAATAGATCTAGATACTACATAATCTTTTAAGCAATTGCAGTTTTTCACTTTAAGAAATTAAGGTATAAAAAATTTGTATTTGTATCTTTCTTAATTTAGTCCTGTGAGTACATGATAACAGTCAAAAGATACAATTTTTTAAGAAGCATAGAAGGAAAAAAAAAATCAGTTGTTAGTATAAAAAGCAGCTTAACTGAAATGGAAAAAAGGTAATTAGTAGATGCAAGTGTGAATAATCAGAAAAATAAACTGATGTGTGCAATTTGTGCATTATTTTCCTCCATCAGAGTTTTAACTCTGTTCTCCTAAGTATCAAAGAGACCTCAAGGAGTGGTATAATGAATAGTTGTTTTTTGCTTATGTTTAAAGGGGAGAAAAAACAGTTGTTGCTTAACAGAGCTTCATTCAGGACATTGCTTTTGAATATTTTGTGAGTTTATGGTAGGAGAGGTTGTTTAGCACTATTTTTGGGTTGTATTGTTCTTTACTCAAGACACTGAAGCTGTGCCTGCATTAAGTGGTAACTCCAGGCACAGTTTGTAGTTGTATCTGTTGTGAACTGTTTTGCATCACGGTTACAGGAGCAGTACAGGTGTTGTTTCTTGGAGTTGTTACTACAGCGTTACAACGTTTTTTCTTGCATTCCCTCTATCTGCAGCAACTGAACCACCCCAATATAATTAAGTATTTGGATTCTTTTATTGAAGATAATGAACTTAATATTGTCCTGGAACTGGCCGATGCTGGTGATCTCTCTCAGATGATTAAGGTAAGAGACACAGGTTGGTTGGGGTGAGGACAACCATGCTAGAAGCACTTTTATTCTCCTTGCAGCTTTGTACAACCAAGGGTGCTTCCAGAGGCTAACCTGAAGTGTCTGGTGGCATTTTAAGTAGGCCAGGCTATGCCACTAGCTTCTGGTCGCTGTTTTGGAAGGGAGCAAGCCTCTGTATGGTTTGATGGGGTGTATGTGTTATTTGCAAAGGTGATTTGTCCGGTCTGTGACTGATGGGGACGTGCAATTATTGTTAGATTTGCTATTCACATAGCCTGGCTGCCACTCCAAAGACATTCAAGAAGTGTATTGACTTTCTTTGCAGTGGGGATTTGGTTTTGAGAAAATGTTTCAAGTACTTGTTCTTCTTTTATGTTGCTCTTAGGAATACTTGTATTGCTGCAAACCAGCTTTAGTTAAGCTGTTACCACCTGCTTTTATATTTTCTTTGACATGTTAATCTTTAGACATACATCCCTTGTGAGAACAGATGTGTTATATCATGTTTGTTAGCACTCTCAACCTTCTCTCCATGTTTTACCTGATTTTTGCCATCATTATTCTGTAATTATCATAAATGAATGTTTGGAAAGTTCTCCTCCTCCTTGTTGTCACAGTTAAAATATCTTATTAACAGATTTGTTTTCTTTGCCAGCAGAACTATGAGGCACTAGGCCAAAGGCTGTCAAACAAGTTACCCATTTAGTCCGTAGTCAACGGCTAAATTTACAGTATTTGTGCAAATCTGCTCGGGCTCACAGTAGAGTCCCCGTGGGTGAGCAAGCTGGGAGCAGGCTGGGGGAAGCACCCCAATATTCCAGGTGTGGCCTCAGTCCCCAGGCGCTCTGGAGCAGGAGCGGTGGTGGGACGAGCCTGGGGCACAGGGCTTGTGAGGCCTGGGAGAGCAGGAGCTGGGGCTGGGGGCACCCGGGGGCATGCAGGGGCTCTGCTTGCTTTTTAAATCTTAGCTTAGAAACAGTTTTAACTATATAATTGTGAGATATCATCATATAAACTATTTGCCTTTTTTTGTTGTTGTTGTAGGTTTTAGCCTTCCCTACTAATACACAAGTTAATTTATCTGTCTGGGTTGGTTTTCGAAAGTTTCTTTACTTTGTGTCATGATAGGTAGGAGTTACATTTTCCAAAACATAATTTGCAGATTCTTAGATGGGTAACATATACAGTGCTGTACCTTGAGTTCTTTCTGCCAGCACTCCCTGCCTGGTCTGTTCTCCCCCGTGTTTATCTCGGGCATGAAGAGGATGCACTAGTTTTTTTTCAGGGTCATATAAATTGTGTTTTTCCATTGACATGAGTCATGGAATGATTTATTTTTTTTAATGGGGCAGAAAAAAAAAAAAATGACCAAAAAAAAAAATCTCCTCCTAAATATAGCTTTAAAGAAGTGGAGTTTTCCTGCCTGGCCCTCTGTGTCACCCCCCCACCCCACCCCACCCGTCCCTTGGGAATCTAAGCTTATGTGAGGATTTTCAGTTTCAGCGAGGTGGTAAGAACAGCAGTAACAACACTCTGAAGGTGCAAGAGTGATAAAAACAGGGACTGTCTTTGTCACGCCCCTGGTGCCTGCATTATTTATGAGGTATTGTAAAGCTGATGTAAGAGTGCTGCAGGATAACCCACTGGAGAGCTGGGACTCCTTGTAAATGTCAGGCGAATCTTATTGGACATGACATTTAGAAAATTATCACTTGTGGTCTTGCATATCCACTCTTAAATACTTTAATGAGAATGAAATAATTTTATTGTGTATATAACACTTTATCCCTCACCCTCTGCAATTCCTCTGTGCTCTCTATCAAGTTTTGGTTTGAAACTGTTGCAATCTGTCAGATTTGCTGCCTGGGGAATTGCAGGGTCCTGCCCCTTCACAGCTGATCTGCAAAAGAAAATTTGCCATTATGCGAGTGAAACACGAACCAGTAACAGCATCTCACATAAAATATAAAACGTGACAATGGACATCAGATGTCTGTACTGAGAGGAAAAAGCACAAGATACAGAAAGGGGCAACAACTGATTCCCTTCCTTTATTCTTGCTCGTGAGTGCTGCTGGTGGAAATTCTCAAGGGTACGATGCAGAACAACTGCAGTTGTAGTGTGCCAGAAGGGTGTGCAGCTTCCCAGAGACTGTCGTTAGCCAGAGACATCTACTGTATCAAAGGATGAAGATAAATATTAAATCTCTGGAAGCGTTCTGCAAGTGCATTTTGTTAATGCTGTGGCTGAAGAGCTGGCTGGGTGTCTAGCCCAGGAGGGAGCAGAGAGGAGCCAGGGACTGGTTGCCCTAAGAGGGGCGGTTTTGGGGTGCCATGGAGGAGGCGATGGCCCCTTGCCTGGGGCAGACTCAGCTGTGGTGCCTTTCTGAGATGGGGAGAGAAGCTGAAGGTAGCGTTCAGCCTTCACTGGAATGTGCAGCTGGTAATTTATTCCTGCAATAAGTTGCTCTTAAATAAATTTGTGCCAATGCACACAAGGCGCTCCTGTTGCAGAGCTGCGTGCCTCTTGAGCAGCAGTGTCTTTCAGAATCACTAGAGATAGTTCAGTTAATTTAGTATTCCTATTATGTATGAAATAGAATATATAATTCGACCTGATCACAGAAGAAACACTGTATAGATACTTTATTGATGCTCTGGCTGCCTTTTAAGAAGGGAGACCAGATTACCTTGTTGTTAGTGTGTACAATAATGAGTGTTTACAAGATTCTTTTTTTTTAATGGTCTTTTGTTACTTAAGGCAAAATATTTGAGACATTTGTTGTTTTGAGGCATTAAATATGTTTTGCAAGGTAATTAAGGAGATTAATGCTAATTATAATTGGTGTCCATTCAAAAATGTCAAACCTATTTAAGCGTATTTTTCTTAATAGTTGTTAATTAGTGAACTGCACTGAAGTTTGCATAGAGTGAGAGAAGGAGTTAAAAGCTAATCAGAGGAAAAGTCATGCTGCTGCAGATCTGGAAGGCATGAGCAACCAGCAGCTGACTAACACACGAGTCAAATATGTTGCTTTTTCACTGATCTTTTATTTATTTCCTCCCACAGTATTTTAAAAAGCAGAAACGGTTAATCCCGGAAAGGACGGTGTGGAAATATTTTGTGCAGTTATGCAGTGCAGTTGAACACATGCACTCCCGCAGGGTGATGCACAGAGGTAACATTAATTCAGTCTCTTTTCACTGAATAATAATATAATGTTCCAATTAGTAAGCGCCTACATTCAAAAACAATTATGCTGATGTTCAGCCAATGCATGTTTAGAGAGGCTGGAGCTTGCAAGATGGATTTCTCCTTCTGTCTCTTTGCCTCATTGTTAAAGGATTCAGTCCGAAGTGAGGGTGGTATTAAGAAGATGAGCTGCTTTGTATTCCAGACACTGATGTTAACTAGAAGTGTCAAACTTGCCATTAGAAAAGTGTCAGAAGTAAAATGCTGAGACTACTGGATACAGTGAACTCTAAGGAATAGTCTTCATTATGTTAGCTGTGACCTTAGAGATTTTAGAAGAGTTTTTCTGTCTTGCAAGCTTTTCTGAAATATTCATATAAATATGTCCCACACTCTCATAATCTGTTTTCTAGTTTTATTAAAAAATTTTGAATCTCTTGTCTTAGAACATCTCCTAACTTTGAACTCTGTCCAAAGATTACGTTGCTTTCTCCAGAATAAATGAAATGCTTTGTGAAGGACTTGACCCAGGAAATGCAAATATCCCAAAAGGCACCAATACCAGCCTCTGCTGCTTGTTAGTTCCTTTCTCCTTTGAAGTACTGAATTCTTCATTGTTTTTTTTTTCAGCACTGTGATTTCATTTTCACTCCCTTGCTTGTCCCTGAGTTAGGTCTGTAATTGGTGGGTGAAGTTTGAAGCCTTGCACATTTAGTTTGCTTTAACATGAGGAAGGAGCTTCACTGACTCGATCCTGACATGACTTCATGGGAAACTTGGGTTCTAGTAATTTTTCCACCTCATGAACAGACTGTGCTGTGTGGAGTCCAGAATTTATGTATATGTGGGACAATAATTAGCCCATGGTGTGAGGAGACAATGATGGGCAGTGTGGTATCCTGTACAAAATGATCATTTCCACAGAGAAACAGACATAAATCTTTGATTTCTGTCAGGTAAAGAGATTGCCTTTATTCTGTCCTGCTGTTTCCTCCATTTTCCCTCATTGGTATGTCTTGTGTGTTGGGAAACATACTCTGATTTTTGCATATGTGCAGAGCTTGAAGTCTTGGAAAATTCAGCCTATCAAAGCTCTAAAGAAACGTGGTTTTGCTGGAGCTTCTTCTGTACAGAGAGTGCTCCAGGCTATATTTTTATTGCAGTAAAAGAACCAAATAACCTTTTGTGGCTTTGACCTTTTACCTTTTTTTTTTTTTTTTTTCCCAGACATAAAACCAGCCAACGTGTTTATCACAGCCACAGGGGTGGTGAAGCTGGGAGATCTTGGATTAGGCCGTTTTTTTAGTTCTAAAACCACTGCAGCACATTCCTTAGGTAAGAAGGTACTTGCAGATGTTAAGAAAGCACTGCTAGACAGTTGTCAGCTGTGGTGTTCAAAAGAAGTGTTGTCTGTCCTCCTGCTGTGGCAGAGGCTTGATCTGCTGGATGCATCCTGTATTTTCTGTGATACGTATTTTAAATACTCTTTGTATGAAATTAATAGGTATTTTTTTATTTAAAACTCCACTTGATAACTTTTTTGGGGCAGGCCTAGCCTGGTACATGTATGATTTATAGCAGGTGTGCAAACACAGCTTTTCCACTCCACATAGCATCTTTGCCTGGACTCTGCTTGCTGGAGTTAAGTGGTACACCACCACCACTTTCAGCAGATGCTGGTCAGCTGTCATGCCCTGAACAGGGTTGTGACTGTCATCTGAAGTGAGGGGAGTGTGCAAAGCCCTCACAGTTCATCTCTTCCAAAAAGGGACTTCACCTGAAACTCAGCTTGGGCTTTAAAAACCCAAGTCATCTTCTGTTTTTCTGTGAATTCCACCTATCTCAAGGTTGTTTTCCTGCTCTGCTGTCAGTGCAGGCAATTGTCCTTGCCAAAGCACAGTGCTTGTTTTTATTTGTATTGAATTGTCCTGTTTCCAGACTCTCCTTCTTGCAGTCACTTTGAATTTTATTCTTCACCATGCAGCACTTTGGTTCATCCCAGCTGCCCGTGACCTGCAAAGGCAGCAGCATGGCCATGGTCCTGTGTCAGTGCCTGTGTCCAGCAGCACTACAGCTGTTGGCTGTCTTGCAGGACTTCACGTGAAGGAGCCTTTACTTTGACAGTGAACTGCTTCTCCAGCTAACTTTGCAGCCTAAGTAGTTTCATGTAGACAGATTTAAGAGTTTGCTTATACATAAAGTTACACAAGATATTGATAAAAGCATTAAAATTGTAACACATCTGTTGCATCTTTTTCCTTCCTCCTGAAGCCTCTTACCCCATATCATGGAAAAAATAAATGTCATCTATCATGATGTTTTGTGGGCTAGTCATGATGATGATGATTTTATTTTTTTTTGAGTGTTTTATAAGTCACATGATTATACTCCCAGCATTTTTCTGGGAATGGAAATTAAGTTGACTAGTTCAGAGCATCTGGGCTCCTCTCCCTCATTTTTACCATTAGCAGTAATTACAATGCTGTACAAAAATATACAAGTATATGCAGTTCATTCTTTAAGTCTTACAGCATAAAGTATTTCATAATGATGTTGGTAACTTCATGAAAGGTGGCTGAGTTTCTGTTTTTATTAATAGGTCTCAATTTTTTGAGTCCCAATGGCACTTCCATGTCACAGCAGCAAAAGAGCCTTGACTTTTAGTGCAATATTTAATCTCTGTTATGTTTAGCTTTCACAGCTGATTTTGAAACTGTTTAGATGTTTATTGCATTATTTTCCTTTGTGCAATTCCTTTCATGGAGTGTGAGTCTTGCTCAGTTGTTTATTATATTTGTACAAACTTAATTGATAGTAGTCACCAGCAACACTGGGGCTTCTCAGTGCACAAGACAGGAAGATAGATGCCTTGTTTTGTCTGTTTTAAAAAAAAAAAAGAACCCATTTCTACAGTTTACTTTCATTAAATATTAGATTTCCCTTTGTGTCAGAAGCTACACACTCTAAATAGATTAAAATAAATCCTCTTCACAGAAAGTTATGGTCAGATCATCTGAACAGGCAAAAATATGATCATGTCTAATTATATGATCTTACCTAGTTTGACTGCTGCACTTATTATACTAATAAGAATAAATTGGGGCTTGGAAATTGGCTGCGCACGTAAGCCAAGCTTGTGACCTCTGCCAGGGTGGGTTGCTCTTTCTCAATTGAGAACGCTCATGTAGGAAGAGTTAACCCTCTTCTGCACAGCCCTTGTCCTTCCTCAAACCAGCAGCATCCTGGGCACAGGAGAAGGTGCAACGCAGTGAGGGAGCAGCAGCAAGTGTTGCTGGAGACAGTCTGTTGTGTCGTGGGAGGGATGGACACACCACTGGTTCCAGCGGTTCTTGTATCCAAGTAAAAACAACACTTTAACAGTCAAAAAACACGCAGACTTGAAGCTTTTTTTTTTTGTAATTTGCCAGACACACAGGTTTTGAAGCAGCAGGAAATCCACTGATCTTGGTTTTGTTTTAATTAAGACATTTGTTTAAGTAGCTGTGAGTGATGAACCCCCTGCAAGCCAGAGCGTGGTGCCCGTGTGGGCCCCGGCTGCGATGCCGGGTGCTGCCCGTAGCCGCGTTGCCCCGGCAACCGCCCCACCATCGCCTCCCTGGCTGCTGACCCATGAAGCCAACGCGGCTTATGCAAATATATTCATCTCTTTTTTTCTCTTCCGTTGTATTTGCTAGCATCAGACTGGCATAAAAGGGCGTTAGGCAGCACCACGACCCGTCTGACAGGTGTAGCGCTGGGCCGCGGCAGGAATGGGAGCCGTAATTAGAGCAAGGAACAGAATCCACGTCAGATGAATTACCAGGCAGCAGATCATATTTGTCAGGAAGGATTGCATACATAAAAATTAAGTGACAGTACACGCCGGGGTAATGAAAGGAAAATGAAGGATTTGCCCGTGCACAGGTGGCGGGAGGCCAGCGCCTGGCTGGCGCGGCGGCAGAGCCCGGCCCCTGGAAACCTCCACGGGCAGCGCTGCGAGGGGGGAACGTGGACACCTCCTGTCCCACGGGGGGACACAAGTGAGCTGGGAGGGACACCAGGAACCAGCTGGGGCTGCGGGTGAATTCACCAGGTGGGACCTCTGCTGCCACGTTCCCTTTTCCTTGTGTGACCTGTGGGAGAAGACAGGAGCTACTTCTCCATAGGGGAGAGCTCTTCATGCACAGGCTTTACCAGAAAACTCCTGTGTTCCAAGGTAATGAGCGTAGCTAAGGTGTGTGTTACTGCTTACCGGTACAACATGGTGGCTTATCAACCTTCCTTCCCTAATTTAAGCTGCCCTATGGCAGAAGCACCAAGATTCAGCTTAATGGAGATGGACTCATGTATCACAGAAAATTCATGCTACTGTGAGATGTAGGAGGGAACAGGGGGACAATTCAGCATGAAGTGAGGAGGAATTTTTTTTTTTTTTTAGTGTTTTCAGTACCAACTATTTTCTTGAAAAACTTTGACTATTTTTTTGCACTTTATAGTGGGAATATTTTACTACATTAATAGGCTGGGGTTTTTTAAGTTATTTTTTCCCTTCATTTGTATATATGTTTGGTAGGGTTTTTTTGCCAGAGGAGCTATATGATCCCTCTTTGACAGTCTGTTTCACTACAGACAATGACTTAACTCAGGGCTTTGCACCCAGTGATGATGAAATGGCACGGGGCTGCTGGAGCTGGGGTGTGTTTCACCATGTGGTTTGGGCTGATTTCATAGCACTGGTGTGAGATGTGCTTCCAGGTGTCATCTCTTTAACTTGAGATTTAATAGGGCTAGGAGTAATTTTTTGGTCTGTTTTTAATGGTTGATTACACTCAACATATAGACCATATTTCAAAATGTCAGAGACTTTAGAAAGTTTAACTGTAAGCTGCTGAATTTTGTTTTACTAGGAGTTGTAATAAATATAGAGAGTTTCCATTAATGTTAAAATGGGTATCTTTATTGTAAACTGGTATAATGCCTGTTTTAGCCAAATCAGTGTAACACTATCCACAGCTCCTGATTGGTGTTACATTTTGCACAGAAAAGAGAAAAGGAAAGAAGAAAGAAGTCCTAAAACCAAAGAACAATCTTTCAGTTTGGAGCGGATGATTTATTATTTACTCTTGGACAAGAATAAACTTGGAGCAGCTTTTCCTTTTGGGGGATGCATGTAGGTCAAAGCCTCCCAGTTTAGAACATGCAGACAGCCGTGGATTGGAGTACGTGGGGTGTTCCGTGTTCCTTCTGGTTTCTCGTTGGATGTGAGGGTGAACAGGCAGTAACTGCAGTTGTGAGAAGAGCTTTTTTATAAATGGACTATTTGTCTTGATTTCTGTTTTTTTCTTTTGCTTGCCAAGCCAGTTTGCCATCTGAAACAAGATCACCAGACCTGAAGGGGCTAGTAAGCAGGACATGTTAAGAAAAAAACAAACACAAGAAATCTACTTAATTTCAACAGCCAATATCCTGTGCATTTTGAGAAAATCTGGCTTTTTGGTCTGTGCCTGTAGTACAGTATGTGTAGAAGAAAAGATTGCCACAGAACTACTGTAGGTGCAGTCTGCCTACGTTTAAAAAAAAAAAAAAAAAAACCAACACAGAACTACTATGAGGGCTCCAGTAGGATTATATTTGTAATTAAATACTAATAAGAAAAAGAACTCAGAGCTTAGAGCAACAGGTCTTGTAAAAACAGTTGCAATATTATGCACAAAATACTTACTTATTCTCTTTTGTAAGAATAAGTTGATTCAATCTTCCCCCCTGCCTTGAAACAATTGGTGGGGGTACCTCACACTGGGATTTGGGGGAATTTAAATAATATTTTAGTGCCTTTGACCACTGTTTCACTTAAGCTAATTCCCGAAAGTTGAGCTAATTCCCAAATTGTCCTTCTGGGAAAAGACCTCAGCCTTCTTATTGGTAACACAGCCCAAGTAATGCAAATGTGTAGAAACAGATACTTAAGAGCTAGGTTCCTTTTAATAATGCTGTAAGTGTTTCTTGGTAACCTACAAGCCTGTCTGGAGAGATGAGACAGGTGAGGGTTGTAGACTTTCATTTTCAACATCGCTTCCCTCCTGTGTTTGCACCACCAGATATTATTAAAACATACTAAAATATCATTCTCAACTCTGTGTGTGCTTGTGGAATATGCACGTGTATTACATATTAAAACTAAGCTAAAAGTTTTGGAAATACTTTATTATTATTTTAAAAGCTGGGTGTGTTTTTGTTGTTCATGGATGGCATCTCAGTTTTTTTGAGCAGAGTTCTTTGCCTTTTTCATTTGTAATGAGCATGTTTCAAAAATCACAAGTATTTCAAAACATTGCAAAGTTTGTTTTGACAGGAGTGGAACATCTCTAGAACTAAGGAATGCTTTAATCAGCATTACCCCTTTGAGGTCCATGTTGCGCTCTGATATCTCTTGGTTTGAAACTGGGAATAGTCTGTAAAGATACAATAAAGGTCAGAATTTGTTAGGTTCTTTCATATGCAGAACTCTGTTCCCTGCTGTGAGAAGGAAGAGTGATAGATTCAGAAACACTGTTCAGCTCAGTTGTAAAGATCAGCTGGAAGGTGCTGGTGAAGGTAGAACAATAAAAGCTTTCCTTATCACTGCTTCTTGTACTTTGCAGCCAAATATGGCTTTGGAGTTTGATTAACTTCAAGAGATGCCTTTGTTTTTTTAATAGCATTTAAAAAAACCCAACATGCAGAACCTATTAAAATATTGAGAAATACTTTGCACTGATTTCAGTCTAATGACAGTCTGCCTAGAGGTGTGGGAGAGCTGCCGCTGCAAGGTCTTAAATTCAGTGATTGAGACTCTGATGGAGCCTCCTAAAAGCATGAAACAGATTTTCTCTTGTTTCTGCCTGTGAGCAGCTGAGGATGAATTTCATAGGAAGCATTGATCCTGGACGTTTGCCCAGGGAGAAGCTCTACAGAATATAATCCTGTGTGTGACTGTAGTAACCCTGCTGCCAGTGCTTTCACAACAACAAAACTGCTTCAAGCTGAAGAACTTTTTCAGAAGGGGTGAGCATGATCTTCCCTGTGTGGTGGAGGACCCGCTGAGTGCAGCAGTGACGGAGCTCTTCACCTGGGTGTTCCTGGGGCAGACGTGGGAATCCGGCTCAGAGTACCTCTGTGTACTGGTAGCTGTAGTTGCACAGGTTGGATTTGTATTTTGGCCTCTATATGAGAGGAGAAGAGCTTGAATTTTATTTCTGAAAAAAATGTTTTTGCTGCCTTTGTGTGTTTTCCTGGTGAAACAAGATTCTGCGCTGAATCTGCCCGGAAGCAATTAGCATCTCCCTGCCCTGGGTGTTGCAGACAGGCAGAGCTGTGCTGGTCCGTGGGGGTGCTGTAGCTGTGCACACAGGCAGTGCTGGGGAGGGTGGGCAGGAACGTTGTTCTGCTGTTGCTGGAGCGGGCTGATACTCAAGTGAAGTGTTTTGACTTTCAGGAATAGAGTGGAAAAGTGCTTGCCTAGTCATAATCTTCTCTATGTTTTGAGACCTTTATAACTTTAAAGGCATTGCTCTACCACCTGGTGATTAATATTGAATCAGAGCAATATTTTATATCTTCAGCAGG